TTTGCATTTCGTCCACTGATATGCACTGCCAAGAGAGCTTGTTGGATACGGTGAGGACTTGATGATCGGATGGTCCTTTGCTCGAAACCGACCTCTGCATCTAGAATCCTCCTGACTAGGCCTGGGCATCTTAGCGGTATCTCGGCTGTCGTGCTTCCTTCGAGGAGTGTGGCAACTAGGCACCGAAAGGGTGTTACAGTCCAGTGATTGCAGTTGTTACCGCCACGAAGAGTTGGCGGCTGGTTGGCAAGTTGACCAAATTAGGTGGTATATGCCGCGGCTGTTTCGGGTGGCAAAGGTCTACTTCACTTACCAAGTTTACATGGTCCACCAGGGCTCTTTATCTTTCCTTCGACTTATGTTTGCGGATTCGCCTCGTAATTCCTGTCCACTGATATGGGCTTCCTAACACTAATCAGCACCAGCAATCTCGACGGTATTCAGTGCCCACTAATAGCACTGTGCCGCCTCACTGTAGGGTGGTTAAGCTGGCTCAGAGTCGATACAGCTGAGGTACGGCAGTACTTCGAAGATGAATTGCTGGCTTGTAAGAACTTGCGAGAAAAACGCACTAGAAGTTACCGCACTGTAGCGTGATTGGAATCTAATGGGGGACAGCCACGTGGTCTAATTGGACCCATCGTTGATCTAAACATGATGACCAACACCATCATCATCATCATCGACAGCATGATATCAGTGTTCAACACCGATGCTTCACTGCCGTACATGATGACCACGTCATATGGTTCTCGCCTTTACGTTAGAAATTCGTGCCGACCAGGAACAGTTGGTTAGCGCGCAACCGGGTGAGTCGCTCCCCATTTTCTATGAGGCGAGCACTAATGCAGAATCGACCGCCCAGATGTAATTCCAAGATCAGGCAATTATATCGGCCGCAAGGAAGGCATCATCATCAGCTGAAAAACCGCGTAGTTGCCGCGCAGTGGTTATAAATTGACATCTAACGTTGCCCTGTTATGACCGGGGTCAAGCTGTGATTAGCGCACTCATTACGAGCTCCCTTTCTGAAAGCGGACACCATCGGTTCTCTACAGTTGCCTGTTTTTCCCAAATTGACCAAACAAGCCCTGACTGCGGAACAATGCAGGTGGAAGTACATCCGGAACAATAGCCCGGTGGCGCTTGAGAGCAAATGCATACTTGTTTCAGAGACAGCATACAAGTTTGAATTATAGGGTCTGGACAAGCATTTTGTGGCATAGAACACCCACGTTAAAGGGTCTTATGTAGAAAAGGTCTCGCGATTTCGGCAATGTGTCGAACCGTTTTTCGTTAACAGAAAGTACAATCTCTGAATATGTCCCTTACAATTCAAGGAGAATCACCGGAAATTATGGAGAATTTTACATACAGTCGTATTAGCGCTGACGGAAGTGTTTAATGAAGTCAGTGCACGAATACCCAAGACCCGAATCACGTGTGCTGATTTGCGTCACTTATAGCGCCAAAAGTCTTAAGGGACACCAGTGTTTTAAAGACGATGTTGTTTAGTGTCTGCGAGACGTGGCCTATGCGGACAGATGATCTGAGGCGTCTTCAGGTTTTTGACCGCCGACGCCTCGGAAGCGTTGCTGGTTGTGGATGACGTCAGCGGATTACTAACGAGGTGATTATAAAATGGGTATCTGGTTGTGTAGCACGCACCTCAATACGGAAAATACCCAGCACGATCGACAACGATGACTTGACCATACACTGTGCATTCCGAAACACCACCTACTGAGACTAGCGTTTTTCTCCGTGCCTCCTTCACAATGGCGCAACGCGCGAATTGACTTGGCAGAAGAAAAAGATTACGAGTTTTGGTGCTAGTGGTGTTGTACGCCTTCCAGGATAAGGTCCCATGACCTCACCTCATTCAGCTGTAGCACCCTTTCGGTGCCTAACTGCTATGCCACCCGAAGGTTGCAAGAGGGCTGGGTTACTGTCAGGTTGCCCAAGCCTGACCTCACCTGCGATTGCAGGAAATGACAGCTGATCGATTTCAGTGGCGTTCGTGCTTTCAGTTGCTTTCTAGATTGTCTGATTGAGCGATTGGAGGTGTATTACCCGAAAATGTATGACACAGGCCATCAGGCTCCCTCTTTCACTCACTCTTCTTTTCACTCCAAGGCTCTAGATATAGTTAGATGAACTTTACGGTTGTACGGTAGTCAAGCATTAATGTCAACACTCACGTTTCGTCTACGATGATGATGATGACGATCGTGAGCACGTAGAGGCGGCGAAATAGAGCGAGAAATCACGTCCCAACGGTGGCATTTTAGCAGTCTATCTTTTAGTGTGGTGGAGCACTTCGGTACCCCTGAAGACAAACGGATGAGGAAGGGACAACAAGGTCCCACGGGGTATGACACCATCATCCAGCAGTGGATAGAGTTCGGAACTCGGAGGCCCAGATGAGGGGCACAAGTATTCGTTATTCCAAATCGCCTATTCTAAAGACCCAACTACTGGTTTGACACCAATGACCCAGAAGAATGATGACGCAGGACTCAGAGATAAAGCTTTGAGATGACAGTGGGTCCAGTTCGAAGGCGAGTTAAGAAGAAACGGTGAAAGATACAGGGTTGTTTTAGAAGTGAAGAATTGGAAATTCAACTGTGCCGACTCGTGAAAAGAGAAACGGTGAAGAAATCACATAATCCAGGGGAGAAATTACGTTAAAAAGCTTGTAGTCCACTTGATCACGATATTGTGCAAATCATACATGAACAGCCTGAGCAGGAAATCAACACTGGTTGCCCACCAGTGCTTGTTTGATGAGGGCGGATGTCACCCGATATTGAAAGGAAACCATTCAGCGTGTTGACAGTCGTGTTTGAACCAACAAGCAAAAACGGACTGTATGTGACTTGACACCACAACGTATGGCAGCGAAGCATTGGTGTTAAACACTCATGTCATGCTGTCAATGATGATGTAAACACTTGTGTTGGCAGATAGACATGTGAATGGCTGCATGAAATGAACATACAAATCATTAAAGTTCGATCGGGCAAGCACCAATGGCGCCCTCGGGCTGTCTCATGACACAAGATATTCAAATAAATTGGAACGGTAGTCTGTCGTTTCAAGCCATGCTTTGCTTAGCACCATCGAGCGAGGGTTGTATATGTCTTCTCCCATGGGGGCGTGCTCATGACGAAGACTTTCCTGAGTTTAGCGCAACACCTCAACCATTGGCGTCAAGCAAGGGTATCTTGTCACCTTTCCTTAACTCCGTAATCGATGTGCAGTTAGAGTGCTCTTTACTTGCTAACAGCTCAGGTTCAAAGTACTCCCCGCAGCGTTCGCTCAAAAACATTGAATACGCTGACAACATCGCTCTCCTTGGGTGAGACCCTTTGAAATGAAAATCACTCAAAATAAGCTAATGCTGATAAACGGTTTCGCGTGCGCTGCATACTCGGAAAGTGTAGTGTTACCGAATGACTAGGTGGGATCAAACTCAAACCTTATGCTTGGAAATGAACCAATAGATCTTTGGCACTTATGGCGTCGACATATCAATTGACTGTCAAGGCTGCGACATCGGTGAAGTTGGCAGTCCTACTTTACGGATCGAAGACGTCACAGCTGTACGAAGATCTCTCATGCCTCCGAAGCACTACGTCTGGTGGTAACATGTTTCAGTTGTAGAACTCTTTCGGTGTTAGCTGCAACTCCAATGCTACGAGACATGAGGCCTGGGATACAGCCAGGTTACCCGAGTCCAGACAGGAGAAGTCGAGATGCTAAGATTAGGTTCGAACCACGGACCTTCCAGTTGGCTACCTTGATCCCGATGGGAACATCGACCGGTTATAGGGTTGTGCCACGTTCTCGGAGACGGTAACAAGCTACCGGTGGACCAACCGGGCACACTCCATAGGCTACACCGATTAGAACGTGTACTGCGTACGTAAGAGGGCCGTTTGTCGCACAGGGCTCTCACTGTTCATCCACGTATCGGAGATTCCGGAGATCCCATGACTTGGCAACGAAGCACGAAAGTCCCTACCAAGTTACGTTGGTAACTGCTTTCCCCCAGTGAAGCACCAGTGCCAACACTGGTGCTGGTGTCTTTGATGATTATGATGATGCTTTCTCCCAGGGTGAAGGTTTTCGGAAGAGACATATTAATGGTTAGTGACCGCGGCAAAAATGGCCGTTACACAACCAAAGACGAGTCTGAATCAAGGCTATCGCCTTCATTGCGCAGCCCTCTCACGCCGTCACAGGGGACAAAAAGCGATGTAACTTCAATGGTCCGACTGAGCTATCTATTGCTTATTATTCTCTCAACCCTCAGTGAATGAGACTCTAGCAGGTGAAACCACTGTATTTCAGCAAACATTTAGTGTCCGAAAAACTGACTGATCGGGCTGAACTCATAAATAGACAGCCCATATTTTGGAGAATCGTTCGTTACTTTTATTTTAGGGTGACTGTCCGATACAGGACTCATGGACCTCGTGAAGCTAGTCCATTGCCTCTAATAGAAACGTTACCAGTCTTCTCGTACCGTCTTTCAGAACAGTTAAAGAGGCTGTCAGACCCTGTTAAATGGATGCCCGTTCAGTGGAACTAGCTAAACTCTTATTCCAAACCGAAGGCAGATGAACCGGACTTTGTGGATTGAGCAGATGAGAATGTAGCGAGCAAGCTGGCTGTGCATACCTTTCAAGCTGAAGTGCATCTCTGACCAAAACCAGGAACAAATATATCCATTCCTCTACAGGGGCGGCGAGATCTCTCCTGTTCCCTAAATGGCCTACTTAACAGAGATTACTCATTACCATCTCGCATCAACTGGAGAGTTTAGTGATATATGTTTGCCTACCGAAAGAGTTTGCCTAATCTTGATTTACGAGCGCTCTCTGATAGCGCCGGTTGGGCCGTACTTTAATTTTAGATCCTTCAATCTCGTTGGTAAATATGGTGACAAGCATCAATGAAGATTAGGCAGCAAGTCCTAGAACGCTCAAACTCACCTAGAAAGTCTGCCAAAACCGATAGCGCGCCAATGCACAGTCCACCAAGAGCAGCCGCGGTAGGGATGTATCGGTTCAACTCATGGACCATGGAGTTCTCTCGATGACCAGGTACAACCGTCTGTTGCTCTTTCAGCTGCTTCACTACGTCCTTCGCACTTGACTGAGATACGTCAATCCAAATCTTGCTGAAGAACGCACAGCTTCCTAGCATGAAAGCTATGTACAGTATGCCGTGAATTGGATCCACCACCATATCACTAAGCGAGTCGGGAGCCGTCATGTAGTAACACAGTCCACCAATTGGTACCGATCTGGAGCCGCCTTCTCCATCGGACCACACGCCAAGCAAATTGATCAGGAAGTTCCCGCGGAATTTGTTGGCAAGCATCTAGAGAGTATACACGCGATGGAAAGAGCTCACCTGTGACATAACGTACAGGTTTGACACAAGCGCACTTTGAAGCATGATAGGGGCGTTACTTGTGTAGAATAACTTGATCGGATAGGAGCTAGATTGACCACGGTAACGTATTGACTTAACCGCGATATCGACGCGGAAGCTCTGAGAGAATAAATAAGGAAACGAACGACCTTGCCTGGAAGTATATCACCACAGCAAATACCAGCACCGTAGCCAGGATATTCATAAGGTTTGGAAGATTCTGACGATAGAAGGCCTCCCTCAAAGCGCGGACCTTATCGGTACGTGTGGCCAGTAAGTGGAACAACGAAATTATTGCGCCTTCGAACTCCGTACCTGAATCCATTTGTACAATTCTCGAAGCAAACTTACCTCTGCCTGTGTTGATCGTTGTTGGACTGATGGCTCTCCATACGATTGTTTCACATATGTTGGTAGCAATAAATAGCGATATCCCCGAACCCAGACCATAGCCCTTTTGAAGCAACTCGTCCAGCATTAGAACAAGTAAGCCAGCAAATGTAAGCTACGAAAGTTAGGGGGAGATGCAACCAACCTGAAATATGATTATCAGACATATTCCTGCACCGAGTTCGCTGGGAGCACCGTAAATCCCGGACATCACATATACAGAGGCCTGCCCGATTGTTATGACCATCCCAAACACTTGAGGCAAAATGAAATAAATGAGCGCTTACATTTCTGTGCTCCATTAAACAGTGCACGATCCTTGGGAGTATCACCGACCGAAAGTACCTGTATGCCAGCCAACAATTGCATAATTAGGCCCGAAGTAATGATGGGAGAAATTCCCAACTCCATCAGAGTACCCTTGTTAGACGCAGATATCACACGCAACCAGTAAAGGGGATCAGCTGATTCCGAAGACATTATTCCGAACAGGGGGATTTGGCAGCAACACAAAAATATCATCAGTGTGATGCCCGTCCACAAGACACGTTGCCTCTGGAGTATCGTCGACTCCAAGGTGATCTAATTACTGCCTATGCATTGTTTGAACGAGGCTTGGCTAACAGATTTTTCACCGTTGACCAAGCAGACACGCGGCAGGGACATGGCAAAAGATTTTGAAGCACGGAGCGTACATTTTCATTGGGCAATTTTTTCTCATTTCGGGCAGTAGATGCGTGGAATGACTTTCCTCCGACGGTTGTCCAGGCTCCTTCTGGAATCCAGTTTAAAGCACTAGAAGACACTTATCTGTGAAAGTCTTGGCGCCAGCAACCATAATACAAAAGCTGAGAACATAAAGAGCAGTGCTACACTCTTTTTACTTTTGCCTTTCAGGTGAACGGCAGCCACTGAACGACAAGAACAAGACTGACCCCGAAGACTTGGGCGAAAGCCTCGATCTTCTGTATCAATTCATGAGTGTAGCACTGCTCTTTATGTTCTCAGCTTTTGTATTATGGTTGCTGGCGCCAAGACTTTCACAGATAAGTGTCTTCTAGTGCTTTAAACTGGATTCCAGAAGGAGCCTGGACAACCGTCGGAGGAAAGTCATTCCACGCATCTACTGCCCGAAATGAGAAAAAATTGCCCAATGAAAATGTACGCTCCGTGCTTCAAAATCTTTTGCCATGTCCCTGCCGCGTGTCTGCTTGGTCAACGGTGAAAAATCTGTTAGCCAAGCCTCGTTCAAACAATGCATAGGCAGTAATTAGATCACCTTGGAGTCGACGATACTCCAGAGGCAACGTGTCTTGTGGACGGGCATCACACTGATGATATTTTTGTGTTGCTGCCAAATCCCCCTGTTCGGAATAATGTCTTCGGAATCAGCTGATCCCCTTTACTGGTTGCGTGTGATATCTGCGTCTAACAAGGGTACTCTGATGGAGTTGGGAATTTCTCCCATCATTACTTCGGGTCAAGCACCGCGGGACGCGCTTCGTAGTCCACGGATTTAAGACCGGCAACGATTTTCGTGGCAACCAGCTAGATACGCTCAAAGAGGGTCACCACTTTCGGGCATCCTGCGAAGCCAACTTGGTTGGCACACTCGAATTGTGGTCCGAGGTAGGCCCTGTAGAGTATTTGGAAGTCCATGGGAGTAATACGGGAGAAGGTGCATCGAATCATCCATAGAATCGCAAGTGTATTTTGGGCTGATTTCTGATGGCGCTGTGTGTAACTATCCATTCACCAACATCCTCGACTTTCCAGCTAGCAGTCGATCGCTAGATCACGATACTCGTCTCTTTTTCCACACTCACAAATCACGTCACACCAAGGTGACCTATTTGACATCAACTGTCTGTGCCGTCTAGTAAGCGCAGCAACAAGTCATGTGCTGAAACACCCGCGTACTCGCAAACGTGCCTATATATAGGAAAACTGAGCACAGTTAAGACACATACTTGCGCGCACATGGAGGAGGAAGTCAACCAAAGTGAAAAATTCACTAGTGTATATACCTTCCGAATTATACTCTGACTACTATCACCATCTGAGCTCTAACCAGTCAGAAGTGTTAGTTATAGGAGGGCCATATACCCAAAATCTTTTGGCATCCATCATCATGATGTATTCTCGTCACTTCTCACCGCGCATAAGAGGGGCATTCGCTGTCTCCCGTATATGACATATGTACGAACTTTTCATCATTCAGAAGAAAGTGCTAGTTAAACGACAACTGCATTGCAGCGTCCACACCAATTTGGAGGATTCACGGATTCACGGATTGATACGCGGGATCCAGGCTTTTGCCCAAGTTTCCCCTGGTCGGTTTTGTTCTTCTCGATCAGTGGCTGTCGTCCACCTGAAAGGCACAAGTGAAAAAGGGTGTAGCACTGCTCTTTATGTTCTCAGCGCGGGGCAGTTTGCTTACCAGCGCGGGGATTCGCATAAATAAATGTATGACAGTGCTTTAAACTGGGTTCCAGAAGGGGCATGAAAAACCGCTGGAGGAAGGACACTCCACGCAGCTACTACCCGAAATGAGAAAAACTTTTGCCTAATGAATGTGTGTGCTCTGAGCTTGAAAATTTTCTTACTATGCCCCCGCCGTGTGTTTGCTGGGTCAACGGTAAAAAACCTGTTTGCCAAGCTCTGTTCAAACAGGGCGTAAGTAAGAATTAGGTCCCCTCGGAGGCGACGGTACTCCAGGGGAAAGAGATCAAGCATCGCGAGACGCGTTT